ATTCTTTTGAAGTTGAATAATTTATTATTATTTTATACATTTCTCTAAATTACAATGGCTTAAAAGCGCTTTACCATGTGAAGTAGAGAGTCTTATCTCTGTGGAGTTCTTCGGATGATGATGAAGAGAATCTGCAATTCATTAATGTTACTTTCTTGATTTACTTTTAATCTTTTAGTGTTGCAAGCAATATCAGAAGCCTCTTTGCTTTAATTCTACTGTGATGCATAATTACAATGTGTTGCGGAAAGAGTGGCAACTAGAGTTGATTGTAGACAGTAGGTGGGATCCAGATCTTTTAAATATTGACCCAAAGTTGAGCTTGCAGTCTAGTCTATGATTACACAATAGATAACTAAGAAGTGTATATTGCACTTTCAAATTTCCAATTTTTATATCCACCTTCACATAAGTTTTTTCTACCAAAGTAAAGCTTTATCATTGATATGTGTTGAAAGTTGTTTTATTGAGTTTAAAATCTGATCTTTCTCTGCAAAACCTGTAGCTTGGCATGGGAAGTGCATTGGAGACTATCTGTGGCCAAGCTTTTGGTGCTGGCCAAATTTACTTGCTTGGTGTTTACATGCAACGCTCATGGATAATCCTATGGGTCACCTGCATTTTACTCTTGCCAATTTACATCTTTTCGGCTCCAATATTGGAACTTCTAGGCCAACAGAAAGAGATAGCTGATATAGCTGGAAAGTTCACTATACAAGTGATACTCCATCAATTTTCCAACCCAAAAGTTTCTTCAAGCTCAAAGCAAGGTTAACGTGATTGCCTGGATTGGTTTTGTGGCTCTACTTCTGCACACTGGGTTGTTATGGCTCTTAATATATGTATTCAAGTGGGGCTTAACTGGTGCAGCTGTGGCATTTGACGTCACTAGTTGGGGAATTTCATTGGCTCAAGTTGTTTATGTTGTAGTTTGGTGCAAGGAAGGGTGGCATGGATTCTCTTGGGCAGCATTTGAGGATATTTGGGCTTTCGTTAGGCTATCCCTTGAATCAGCTGTAATGCTTTGCCTTGAGGTTTGGTATATGATGAGCCTTATTGTTCTTACTGGCCACCTTGATAATGCAGTGATCGCTGTAGATTCTCTCTCCATTTGGTAAGATCGTAACTTCATGCTTGAACATAACTATCTCACCGAGTTACCAAAACCAGTGCAATCTCTGAACCATTGTAGCGTTGCATTACATCCTACTTCTATCCTCCATAGAGGAGGAGGGATGAACATTATATGAACCTCGTGATGATTTTATTAGGCCTGAAGAACTAATTCTTATTCTTGCCAAAGAAAAGGAAAAGAACAAAGTGATGATTTTATTCTTGAAGAATTGAAACATGGAAAAGAAGAAATTAATGATGGTTAGGCTGAACATTCCCTCCCGTGGATTGAAAAAATGAGTGTAAAGGCTATAGTTAGAAGATAGAACTGTGATGAAGTTAGGAATTAACTTTCTTAAGGAATTCATAAACCCTAGTAATTAATTTCTCCATATGTAAGTCCTCCAGGGATTCATGAAACGTAATGTTATTGACGTCATGCCTGTCATGCCATCCGTTCTAATGCATTCAATGGTGTGTTTATAGCATGAATTACAATGGATGGGAAAGCAATGCTGTTTATTGGGATAAATGCAGCCATCAGGTATGCAGCCAGAAGTCATGTCTCAGTTTTTTCTTTCGCATTTTAGGACAAATGACATGCCAAGTCACCTGATATAAATTATAATAAAATATTAAAATCACCCAAGAAATTGGATTTTTTATTGCAATAACTATGAGCACTAAAATTAAGACCCCTGGGTAGATTTATCATTGGTGTTTCCTTTTTTCTTTTTTTTTTGTTGGGGGGGGGATCTATTTTTCTTCTTTATGTCACCATTTTGACCTCGTTATCATGTTATGTGTGACTCGTTCTTTTTCTTGTCTAATACCTACAGTGTCAGAGTTTCTAATGAACTTGGACTGCGACATCCAAGAGCTGCAAAATACTCTGTTTACGTGACAGTGTTCCAGTCTCTTTTGATTGGCATATTTTTCATGGTTGTTATTTTGGCAACTAGAGACTATTTCGCGATAATCTTCACGAGCAGCAAAATTTTGCACGAGGCAGTCTCCCGCTTAGCTGGCCTCCTTGCTGTGACAGTAGTTCTTAACAGCGTTCAACCAGTGATTTCTGGTATGAACTATTGGAAGTTTCCACTTCATGAAAACAGTTCTTTTTTTTTTTTTTTAATGGTTTCGGAATAATTCTCGCAGGTGTTGCTGTTGGAGGTGGGTGGCAGGGACTGGTGGCTTACATCAATGTGGGTTTTTATTACATTTTTGGGCTTCCCCTGGGGTTCTATCTGGTTATGAAGCGAAGTTAGGGGTTAAGGTAACTAAATCGCTTCTATTTCCATGGAATACTGCCCTTTTGACAGTGATTTCTGGTATGAACTATTTGGAAATTTCCACTTCATGAAAACAGTTCTTTTTTTTTTTTTTTAATGGTTCGGAATAATTCTCGCAGGTGTGTTGCTGTTGGAGGTGGGTGGCAGGGACTGGTGGCTTACATCAATGTGGGTTTGTTATTACATTTTTGGGCTTCCCCTGGGGTTCTATCTTGGTTATGAAGCGAAGTTAGGGGTTAAGGTAACTAAATCGCTTCTATTTCCATGGAATACTGCCCTTTTGAAAAGATAAATAAAACAGCAAGTTTGGTAAACAGCTTTCTTGGATTTATTGGTCAGAGACCATAGATAAAACTACATATAGAAATTGACGCTGTGCATGCCAACACTCGAGACTTTTATGTGAAACAATGTGTAAGAAATTAGAGAGAAAATTATGTATGGGCAAACACTTCATAACTTAAATTTTTGCATTGAAGCTGTCTTTGACATCTTATATTAACTTTGAATTTAAATGGAAGCTGTGTTCACTTGTAAGTTCACTGCTTTGTAAACAATGATTATCTCAAATCTAACGGCTGCATACTTTTAAAGAGACCTTTAGCTGCAGCCTTTCTCTATATCCACGCAGCATTAACTATTTTCTTGGGGACAGAAAGGAAGACATACAATTGGAAAATAGAAAAAAGAAGACGACAATTTTCTAATATTATAACTTTTTTTCCCCCCATGTATAGGGACTTTGGGGAGGAATGATATGTGGAACTGCTCTGCAGACTTTGCTGCTCTTGTTTGTACTTTATAGAACCAATTGGAACAAGGAGGTAAGCGATCCTTTGACATTCTTTCTGAAAATTCATGTTCATCTTTTCGATCGCTCCTAGAAACTGATATTCTCCGATTATTATGACTTCAACTAATTTTCATTACTGTTCACATGTTCCCTTTTCGGTGCAAATACTTGTGCGTGTATAAATTCATGGAGATATTTATTAGTAGTTTCTTTTTGACTCCTTCCATTTAATTTGTAGGTGGAAGAAACAAGTGAACGCATGAGGAAATGGGGTGGGCAAGACATCAAAGTCGATACGAACAGCCAGACCCTGAGGCCTGAGCTTTAATATCAGTAAAGGTGCAGATAACCTTATTACTTTAATCTCTTGTCCAGATCCAATGGCCTTCTAACTGGATCTCATCATGCTATATGTCAAGAGTGGATGGTCTTTGCATGTTTATTCTGTTTTATCCGTAGATGTAAAGCACTCGCTATCCTTCTGCTTTTGGTACGAATATATTTCCCTGTGTAGGTTGTCAAGAAAGACAGAAATACCTCATTTCTTCTATATTCTCCGCTCTTGCTTTTTTTAAATTGTCTTACCATGAAATTACAATGAGGGACCATATCATGAAATTATTAAAGTACAAATAAGAAAAGGGCAAAAAGCAAGGCATCCTGGCACAAGGGAGAGTCTCTGGTTGGCGAGAGATGATCAGCTGGATCAGGTGGAAAATGAAAAGCCGATGAAGTGAACAAAGGTAATTTAAAAAAAGATTAATAAACATTTGAAATAAGTCTTATATACAGAGCTAATATCAATTCTCAAATTAGGTCTTATATTAAGGACTGCAGAAGTATCAAAAACTTAGCCCATCACAACCCATCTGTCTAGAGCTCACATTTACACAGTTTCCATGCTGTTTAAAGATTGAACACTGCAACCAACAAGAGTTGGTCTAGTTGGTAAGGAGTCAGCTCATAACCTAAAAGTTGTGAGTTCGAATCCCACTACCGATGTGAGAATCTTGTTAGTAGGCGATCTATAAACACTCTCTGAGTTTGAAGGTATGCCCTAACCCCGATAAGCTCCCAGAACCCAATTCGTTTAAACTTTATTATACCAAAAAAAAAAGATTGAACACTGCAGGTCCCAAGACTGGCTAACCGGAGAGCATGAAAGACTATGGCTCTGTTTCTCTTTAAATTATTACCAAACTCCTCCCAGCCACTCGCATCAAAATTTGCATGGATCATTTGGGAGCTAGAATGAATAAATACCCACCTCGAGATAGCGGGATGCATTCCAAATGGCACGCTCCTCAGCCTGATTAAGTGCGGCTGAACAACCACCGCTCACCTGGTCTTAACGAAGCAACCTACGGTGGCTTTATTCTTTTTCTTTTCTTTCTTTTTTTTTGGCCCTTACCACTGTGGCTTTATTGATGTAAGATTCATCAAAATATTGGTATTCTTGAAGATCTCAATCCTTGTTGGAAGGAAAGTGCGTATTCCCATGAACACCCCTTCTCAAGCTAATATAAACGGTGTCACATCTTTGCTCAAAAATATACATGGGGGGGGGGGGGGGGACCGGTGCAGACCTCAACGCTTGTTGATCTTTTCGCGACTTACATAATTAAAAAATTTTGAAAAAGGAAAATACTGATACCATCTAAAATGTGATAAATAACGATATGTTTTACGATGAATGAGTTTTGATAGAAATCCCTTACTTACGCCTTCCTCATAATATGGCCACGATTTTCATACTATACGTAAATAAAACTTATAATACGGAAGAACAGTGTACATGCTAATTACAAACGACGATATCAGTTGACATTATACATTGAAACTCATGGATATCATATATAGTCCCACCTGTTCACTGGTCATGCACCCAAGCTAAATAATAGAGAAATGTACCATATATCGACAGAAACACGTCAAATTTCGCTATCTGATGATCTTGGAACTAATTTCCGCTCCCGCACCAAAAATAAATATCTGAAGTACAAGCAGGCATCAAAGTAGTATTTTCGTCAAAAATGAGCAAAACAAACAAAAAACAGAAAGCGAACGTAAAATAATAGCCATTACATTCTTCCTCAAGAACAAGATAAGTAAACAAAAAGGAAGCACTTGGCGTCAATATCAGTTGGAGCAATCTACTCGCCATCTTTCTTCTTCTTGACCACTCGGTATGTACCGACAACACAAGCATGGTCTCGTTCGTATGGCTCCAGAGTCACTTGCTCGCTGGGCTTAAACTGATCCGCCCTGAGCTTGTTCACCTCACTTGCAAACACTGCTGTTGCTGGCACCGTGGAGTCTATGCAGTTCGCCTGACATACAAAACAAGTTGTTCAGTCTAACATTCAAAATAAGTCGTACAAAATTTAAAACAAATCCCAATGGTTAGCTCATTTAAAACGTCTCTTGAGAATTGAGAGTTGTTGTTGGAATAAAATCTAAAAGTGTACCAAGGATACGACCTAGAAAGACCATGGTTGCATAATGCCACTGATTAAATGTTAGATTTCGGAACATACCTTGATTGAAATGACAAAATGGCCTCCTGCCTTCAGATAATATGAAGCATTCAGCCCCAGAATCCTTGCCTGCAAAGGATTCATAATGAGAACCAGATCCTCAGACAAGGGGTCTCTACTCACCAAGTTGGTTGCAAAGAGAATTTGAGAAATGACCGATAGAACAGAGGAGGTCGTATTGAAACATCATAGTGACGATGCAAAAGCACAAATTGAGTAACCAAACTACTCTACTAGTAGCACAAATAACACAAATATCTAAATGATAAATAAATGAGTGCAAAATGTAAATTAAAAAAAAAACACAAACTTGGATGCTAAAAAAAAAAAACTTAATAGATTCATGTGCATCAGAAACTCGGGTCTGCATCATCCATGATGTCTTGAAGGGGAATCCGAGTATACTCATCATATGCACGGAGCATCAAATATTGAGGAATGCGGAGAACCAAGGAAAGAATGAATGTCTTCTATTAACCATAGAAAAATTCAGAAAAAGCAAAACGAAGTTCAGCAGAAAAACATAAGAAACTGAAACTTAAAGATCCTCAGGAAAAAAAAAGTACGAAGTAATTCAAAATTTAAAAATGGTATGTAGCTCTCCCAAATCCAAGGAGAAGCGAGAGACAACAAAAGAAAAAATTAAGAAAAAGATGCTAACTAAGCATAGTTAAGAAAATAAACAGTCAAAAGTTGGATCTTTCCTTTTCCATGAAAATACATTTAACAAAATAAAACCAAACCTGATCCGGCTGCGCAACATCAGAAAATATGACATCTACCATGCCAACCAACATTCTGTATTTGGCAGGATGTCTGGCATCTTCAATAATGGGTATAACATTAGTACGCTTCTTAGCCATATTGACAAGGTCTCTTCCACTTCTGTGAGAAAACTCTACTGCATAGACCACGCCGGTCTACAAACAAGAACACCCTAGTTTGATGAGCTCGACTCAACAAGATAGAGAAACATGAAGCAAATTAGAAATAATACTTACTGGGCCAACAATGTCAGAAACATGGGAGACAGTAGTACCAGAAGCAGCTCCCAGGTAAAGAACACGGGCTCCAGGTTTCTTTATTTCCACAATGCAATGAAAATATATGTTAAGAAACAGCAATTGGAAGACAAGGCCAAATAACAGTACAGTCTAAGGCCAGAGAGTTTCTTACAATCCAAATGTTGTCAACTCCACCAAGAATAGCAGCGGCCAACTTGGAGCGGAAAGGGTTCCAAACACGGTACTCAACTTTTGAACCATCCTCATTCTAAATACGATAACAGTGTTTGTCAGTATAAGTACATTTCCATATATTTGAAACTCAACTATGATCCAACGCATTATAGATGCGGGGCTCCATTCAAAGGGCAAGAACTATTATTAAAAGAAGTAACCTGAACAGTAATCCTTTTCTCGTTATAAACAGCTTCGCCGGGAACTAAATTCTTGGTAACAAGCGCATCTTCTTTACCCTTGGCGATGAAAATTCCTTCATGACGGTGCGGCTCGATGACCACCCTGCTCCCACCTTTCATTCCACCCCTACCTCCACGACCGCCACCTCTATCACCTCCTCGACCGCCCCTGCCTCCACGTCCACCGCCACGAGCTTTCATATCTGATCCTCTTCCGCCAAACCCTCTTCCTCCAAAGCCTCTCCCTCCTCCTCGGCCTCCACGTCCGCCATCACCTCTGCCCCTGCCGCCGCCACGACCTGCTTAGACTTACAGCGTTACAAACAAGGCATAATACTTGGAGCTGACAATCAATTAGACAGAACTGTCAAAGCGGAGACAGGTAAAAAAAAAGCTTCGACCTGCATATTAGTAATTCCAAATACAAACTAACTATTCCATTTTTCGCTAGCCAAGAGATTATTTAGCTAAACCAAACCAAAAATCTTATATGAGCATTCATGATGCGAAAATAACTCAACAGATTACCGGAGGGAGGGAAAGAAACAAAATAAAGCAAGATAGACAGCGACATTATCACTTAGTATTATGTAATCTTAGAATACAGATGGTAACAGGGGAGTGAAGCATCTTCCGCTACCTCGGGGAGGAGCCATCTCTACTACAGCTAGGAAGTTGAGGAGTAAACGGCAACGCCTGAAGCGTGAACAATCGTAAACCGAGGATGAAGCAGACTGACTGGTCTGAGGGATTTTATAGACCGCGTTAGGGTTTAGGTTAGGGTTTATGAAGCCGTCGAAGCCCAGGAAGGCCAATGGACCTGTTCGGGCTTTAGATTTTACCAAGGCAGGTTCAGGATAGCCAGCCCAATAAGCTTACGCTAACCTAAAATGAAATTCATTTTTGAAAACTTTTTTATTTCAATTGGTCTAAGTGAAAAAAACAAAAAACAAAAAAGATGCACTTAGCATATGGTTAGTAAGTGTTGCGCCTAAAATTTTTTTTCCCAAATGAAAATCAAATGGAATGGTGTCATCGCTAAAATATATGAGCTTGGGAATCAATTAAATATGCATTAAGCCCTAATATTTTTGTTGCTTGTTTCTTTTTTGTTCTCGTTATGTTAGTTTCTATGATTGTCTTTGTCTTTAGTCTGCTATGCTTTCTTATTTTTGTCATGTTGGGTTGGCCCTCTTTTTTGGTTCTTTTGAGCTTTACTTAAGTTAATTGAATATGATTGACCAGCCTGTTTTTATGTAATCTTTTTATTTAGTGTTTGAACAAAATTGGCATTTTGTTTTAAAAAAAAAAGACCTAATATTTTTTATTTGCGTTTAACTTATTTAATAATAAAAATTGCGTGTTCAGGTAAAATAAGAACCAGAAAAAAAGTTTGACAAATGCGAACTGATCAAGAGGGTCACTGTTATGAAGGTCCAAACATTAAACCCGGCCAATATCCATGTTTATGCTAGTAAGTAAAGACAGTGAAAGATACTCTACACAACATAAAAAGGCCAAAGATACTGCATCTACATACTGCTAAAGGAATGCACTAAAAAATAGGAACACAAGGCCTGGCAAGAAGCCAAGAATGCAAATCATGTTGCAGCAGATGGGAAAAAAATTATCGCATGGTTGAGACATGTTACAACCTGAGCAAAAACTTAGATGAGGACATTGAGCAAGCAAATGGAATAACCCAAACAGCCAACCCCATTCAATCATGAGTGTTGCGAAGGTCCAAGCATCAAATCCATAGCCAATATAGATGATATTAATGTTAGCCAGCAAACCAGTCAAAGAAAGCTAAATAATGAAAGATAAAGGGTAATCGAAGAGTAAAGGCAATGCTTATGTTCTATACTTGAAGAAATGTACAATGTATTATGTATGCAAGTGTGCCTCATTCAAGCATTCGCCCCACCACTTGGCAAAAATATTGAGCACGATATGCTCTTTTGCTCATTATTTACCAAGAATATCCATGAAACACCAGTTCAATGTTCTGAAATAGCTGAAAATGCTTCTTACCAGGCTCACCTCTCTGTCTTGTTCTCTTTCCACTCTTCTTCCTTCCATTCCTCGGCCCCTCTCAATCTCATATCACACCCTATCTCTCTCCACATCCGCCTTCTTCATGTCTCTCTGACCTCTATTATGGTCTCTTTTATCTCCAATTCTTCCTCCGACGTTGCCTCCTTCTCCACTATCCGTCTCTTCTAACCTCAATCTCCTCTCTCAAATTTTTTGCTTCCCTCTCCTTCAAAGTCACTCTCTTTCTCTCAAAATTTCTCCTTCCAGTGTTACTCTACACAAACCAAAGGCGATATTAAAGGCTTGATAAGTGAAGCATGTTGTAAAGAAGCGGACATGGTAAGTGAAGTTTTCTTCCATTCTGTGCTTTATGTTCTGTTTCTTATAGCATCCAATTTACGATCACAAACTTACGAGGGCAGTGACATAATACATTAATGTCTTCCCATTCCTATTGAGTGCCAAAAGTCGGAGGCATTATTTTCATTAAGGCGGCCTTAATTCAAGTCATGAATGTTCTGTAAAAGCAGACTTCACCAGTGAGCTTTTCGTCACTCCATGCTTTGAATTATGTTGGACCTCAACACCCAAAGGTCCTGTTTAGTATGGAACATTAAAAATTAGGGGCAAGGATTGTGATTGAGGGAGTGTTTGGGAAATCAAATCATAGTTTTAAAAGTAATTTTACAGTATACGAAATAAATATGTGATGGGGTTTGCCTTGATTTGTGGAAAAGTGATTTTTAAAAGCATTTTTATAGTTTGCCAAACACTCCCATTGAGATTGAAAAAATTTATTAAAAGTATGTTTAGCATAAGAGATTGATTATTTTATGGGATTAACCAAACCCATATACGTGGGATTGGGGAATGCTATGAGAAGAGGTGGTATTCCCCAATATCACATCTATAAGTTTGTTTAATCCTATGTAATAAGTAATCTTTTATGCTAAATATAATTTTAATGATTTTTCTTATCAACTACAGTCTCAGTCCTTATCCTTCATTTTTAATATTTCATACTAAACGGGACCAAAGTATAGCATACTAGAGTGGCAATGAGAAATAACGTCTTTTGAATTAATAAAATTAGCAGACGAGCAAGATTATTCAGGCCCTCTGGGAAGGAAAGGAAAAGGAAGAAAGGAGAAAGCGTGGGAAAATAAAGTGTCAGCTTAGGTGCCACATCAAGCATAAGACACAAGCGAAGGCCAGTGCTCCAGCTATAAAGGGAAGGAGGCTACATTGGAACAAATCACTGTGGTGAGCTTACAGCGAACTATTCTTTCGCCTTTTACTAAAGAATACCATACGCTCGCCACTTGAAGCAGCATACGCCTATTTTTGGAGGAGTCCTCTTCAGTGAGAACTTTGTCTAAGAACTTTTACAGGTTGGGATCAAGTTTATATACATTGGATTGTTTACTGAGGATTGCATCGGTTTTGTGTATCTTGGCTAGCCATCTTCTGTTTTGCTGACAAATATTAGTTTTAGAAATATGAAATTTGTTACAGTTCTTGCTGATTTACGTTTTTGCTAACAAATTAAAAATTTTCACAGGTGCACAATAATAATATGGGAGTATTATTATTAAGGCTAGTTACTTCTAACAATCTCCAGCTTAGCTTATGGCTGACCGCCTCACTTCCTTGCGTTGTGCAAAAGATGATGACGCAGTATTAGCTGAGACAGAATAAGAAACTGATAGATCTCTAGGGTAAATGCCAGCTCCTGTATAATTTTATGGCTGAAACTTAGATTGACCCATTCGTTATCTGCTAGCTACATATGGACTGGTTTGCATGCTCAAGTTTTAAGGTCTTTCTTTTTCTTTCAATGCTCCAGTATGGTTGAGAAGGCTTCGTTTCTCAAATCCTATAGATCATTGGAATCCTAGCCCATATCGGGTAGTCAAAGGCCAGTAAATTGAAGAAACACATTTCAAACAACAAAATTGAATCCCAAAAATTTTGTAAGAAAACCCGAATTAACTACAACAATTAACAAATTATATTTGTTTTTTTTTTCCTATAACATTAGTTCTTTAGCTTAAATATGGATATAAAAATTTTATTTTCCAAAATAACGTATATTTTTTTCAGATCAAAAGAAGTGTTGCAGCAATTTTTTTTTTTTCAAATCACAATTCACAAGTTCAGAGCATGCTAGAGCCTCAGCAGAAAATTAGATTAGAAAAACAAAGGGCATAATCCAAATCATTTAATCAAGATTGTCATCAAGGTCTAAGGTATTAAAAACAGTCAATGTTCATGATGATATTAGTCAGCGAAGGAGGGCTAGTTTGTGAAAGAAAAGGTACAAGGTATTAAAACAAAAGGCCAAAGGCACTGCTTATACACTTATGGAAATGGTAATGGAACCCAATAAGCCAATGTTCCTCGTTTAAGCGCATGGATCAACACTTGGCAAAAATATTAAATATGACATGCTCTTTTGCTCCTCTACCATGGATGCCCCACGAAAGAACTCTTCAATGTTCTAAATAGATCTGTCTATGTCCATTCTCAATCTCAACAACCCCTCAATCCCCACAAAAACTATAAAAAAAATATACCCATTCTTCACTTCCAACTGTCATGGTTTCCTCCACCTCCCATCCTCCCTACAACGTTGCCTCCTTCTCTGCCATATCCCTCTCCCAAGTCCTCACCTTAATCTTCTCTCTTCTCTCCTTTGTCTATTTGCCTCCTCCTTTCCTTCAGTATCACTCTCTCCTCTCAAATTCGGTGGTCATAGTAGCGGAGTTGTCTGAGCATAATACTAGACAATTCCCGAGCACGACTTTCACAAAGAGGGGGTTATATTTCGACCATATTCCGTAGAAGGTGACTTTGATAAGTGAGTTTTCTTCCATTTTTTGCTTTATTCTTTCGTTTCTTATAGCATCTCATTTGCAGGCTCAACAGTATGAGCGTGACGACAGATATTCGTGTCCTCCCGTTCCTAATAGTACAGTTGTTCGAACCTAACAATTGAAAAGTTTGGAGGCATTATTTTCGTTAACATAACCCATTCAAGTCATGAATATTCTGTAAAAGCAAACTTCACCGATGGGTTTTTGTTTCACTTGGTGCCTTAAATTCTGAAGAATTTTGAGATCCAAAGTGTAGTCTGCAGATTACTAGATTGGCAATAAGTGATAACGTCTTTGTATTGATAATATTGCAGACAAGCAAGATTGTTCAGGCCACTTGGGAAGGAAAGGAAAGCAAGGAAGCGTGGGAAAATAGACTATTCGCTTTAGGTACCACATCGGGCAGGAGGCATAAGTGAAGGCAAATACTCCAGCTATAAAACGAGAGAAACTACACCTTGAAAAGTCACGGAGCCGTGTGGTGAGCACAGAGCGAACTATTCTTTCGCCTTTTACTAAAGAATACCGTGTGCTCGCCACTTAAAGCGGCATACGCCTATTTTTGGAGGAGTTCTCTTCACTGGGGACTCCACAACGCAAGTCCCAAGTTTATGTAAGGCGGGCTCTCTTTTATTTTGCCATCTGGTTGATGAGCTGGTTGTTATTTCAGCCTAATAAATTAATAGAACGTGTTTAACATAAGTTTGTCTGAAAGCGGAAGTTTCAAAAAGCTCAAAGAAAGTCGGCTTGAACGAGGTTGGTTCCATTGATTAAGAACACTACAATACCAAATAAGGAAGCACACGTTTTGATAGCTTTCTGAGCGATACGATGGAACACTTGTTACCAGAAATTGGAGCAGTTCTGGTTGCTCCGATAAGAAAATGACAGGTCCGTGGCCTCTGGGGTAAAAATGAAGGCGTGGTTGCTTGAATCAAATAGATCGTTCAAATTTTGCTTAAAAAAAAACTGGTCAAAATGGTAGCCCAGATCCAATACTAAGAGCCCACTGGAAGAGGGAAATCACATGGGGAATTCGACAGTCCACGGACCACCAAGGGCTGGCCTGGGTTGCACTATGGTCCCTCCGTCCTTCGTCGAACATGGCTAAATTGAACCGACTTTAAAGTTTTAAAATAAATTTACCTTTTTTGCGGAAAACATTAAAGTTTCGTGTAACTTCTGTGAAATACTATAGCTTTTTAAAAATAAATTACATAAAGTTCAATAAAAAATTTGATTCAAAGAGGTCAATATGATTTTAATTTTTTTTTACCTAAATCAACATATATTAAATGCAATTAGATAGAGATCTTTCTCAAGTAAAATCTTAAATTAAAATGTTTCAAATAAGAAAAGCTCCAACGTCATCCCCCATTTGGCAGAGGGACAGGTTTACGGAGGGGCATACCCCATGGTTAGGTGGAAGAAAAAATTTGGTCCCCATAAATAGTTCCTGGATCTATCGCTGCTTTTGGTACAACCATTACCCAATATTTATCACCGTAGATAAAATATGTTAATAAATATAACAAAATTCATAGCAAGCTATGCTATTTAATATATATAATGCAGTCTATTTTTCTAAAAATTTGTGTAATATAGGCGAAAATAAGTGTAATTTATTGAGATACATATACTTGAAATATAATTTTACAAGTGAAAAAAGAAGAAGAAATAAACCCATCAAGAAGTGATTGACGTTTCCTTGGAGAGGATGGATAAATAATGACAATGTACGTGGGTTAGGCTTTAGTGTTAACGGTGGGGTCCATAACCCGGCCCAATCAAAACACTGGCGAATTAATTGCTTTGGTAAGTTTGGTCTTTGCAGGCTCTCCTCCGCCTCTCGCCCCATCAAATCACTTCCCATCTCACCATCCAAGGATCCATCATCACGGGTTTATGCAATATTCACATTTAATATTTGGAAATAATTCATAATTTTTTTATTTATAAAAATTACTTGCTATAAATTTTATATTATATAATAATATTGGTTTACTCGAATCCATTGTCAGTCGAGACTAAAAATAATGTGGGTATAATTGAGAGGTGATTTATATGCAAAATAATGGCGAGGTTTAAGAGTTATTAATTTTAAATAAAGTTGGTGGAAAATAATCCTGCTTATAAAGTCTGGCCTTCAAAATTATAAACAAAGATTATAGCCGAAAAGATCATAATAAATTAAAGACAAACTATTCCAGCGACCAAACATGTGAATGATTTTTCTCATTAACCTCACATGGATTCACATTAGTCAACATCATGTTGACATTTCAGCAAAGAAAGTGAGAAACCAAACATGACCATTTATCTGAAAATAAGTAGCTACCATGGGCCGATAATGCAATAACTTCTAACACTAAGAAAGATTAAAACTTTGTCATCCAAATTTATGAGGCGAGGTTGGCAGATTGAAATCGCATTCTCTTTTTGCAAATCACATCACAAAAACTAGAGTCAAGGTTAGGAACATTTATTTTGATATGGAAAGTAGCTCGTTTTATGTTGCAAATAAATGAATGAGTTAAAAGGCAAACTTAGGCAGATCTTTTTTTTTTGGCCAAAAACTTAGGCAGATCTAATTGAATTATGTGGCGTACATACAGATACAGTTGGCCTTTCCTTGATAATGGTAATGAATGACGCTGTGCTTTCTCCAATAATAGTTCCAAATACAAGAGCATATATTCTAATTAGGACCGGAGGAGTACCATTTGTTTCTTTTTAAATAAAAAAACAAAAATTCAAATGTAAAGTTTCAATTTAAAAAATTCATATGAGAACAAATTAGGATGGCTTTTAAAAATATATTTGGAGAGAAAAGGAGTTTATTAAAAAGGAGTACCCTTAAAGATTTTTGTTGTTGTTGTTGTTTTTTGCTAAAACATAGTATCTTCCTATTGAAGGTAATCCTATTCGAGGCACTGTCGGGTATTAAATGTGGACACCTCTTTTAGTAGGGATTTGAATCTTAGTTTCATCATGTTATGAGATGACTAGTTTTTTTTACTGGATCTAATCCCGTTGGTTGTTGTTGTTTTTGTTGCAACGCACCTAAGCTCCAACAGAATACACGGCGTGCTGACGAACTTTTATTCTTTTGTGGCCAGGTCCCATTTATGGCGGAGGCCCATATTTCAACTTCTTGTTTCTTATTTGGTTTAAAAAAAACAAAAACCTTCTTGTTTCATAGAAACAAAAGATTTTTTAGTTACTTCGGATTAACTCAAATGATAAGAGTTGGGTGGGGTGTGAATATATGTCAAGTGTTCAAACTTTCCCAATAGATTTTTGAAGCTGCTGTCCATTTTTTCTTAGGGAGATTCACATTTAACATTTCACACACACACACATGTATATAAATGTATATAAACACTCACATTTTATAATTATTTGATTTTTTTTACACGTAAGTATCCTCTATTAAAAGTAATTTATTTAAGACAGGTACTAAATTTGAGTACCTCTCTAGTAAGAATTTAAATCTTAATTCGTTATGTTGTAAAGAGCTAACTATTTCCACTGAGCTGAAACCTGTTGGTGTTCTTTAATTTTATTTTTATTTTCAAAAAATATATTACATTTTTAATTAAAGTGGACCGATGCATTTCTATAAAATTCAAAATGAGTTAATGATTGATTAACAACATAAGTTCATACACTTTTTATAGATACGCTAAATTAATCAAACAAATTTATATATTAAATATCAATCATTATTATGTGTAAAAATATTAACGTTAATATTAATAATTATTATGAAAAAGATATATGTTTCAACTACGTTACTTACACAAAAAGACGAAATAAATAATATTGTTAGTGATCTATGAATGACATAACTTTCTATAGTTTTCTTTCCGTTAGACACTTAGTCCCTTAATTTTTATTCATACACTGTCCCAACTCCCACCCCATCTTTCCTATAATTTTCATAGATATAGATTGATGATGATGATTTTAAAAAAAAATCAAATTGGTCGATCAATTTCTCTAATAACTCTCCATCAGCTTCCCTCTGAATAAATATTGACGGGGACCTAATTTTTTTTAGAAGAGAGGAATTTTACATTTCTAAAATAATGCTACGACAATGAGGTGTATACCTTATATAAAATGTTCCGATTTATAGTCATATACTACTTCTCCTAAATATAAGAACTAGTTAACTAATTTGAGCAGATTAAGAAAATAAGTTAAGTTAGTTATTTGTAATAAATATGTGTTGTTTTTTCTAAAATATCCTTGCTAATCAAATTTGTTAGTCAGAACTACTATTATTAGAAGAACTATTTTAGAAATAAATAAATAAATATGAGAAACAAAGTGGATCGAAATCTTATATTTATGATCAAAATAAAAATCAAATAAGGTATTATATTAAGGACCGTATAATGTCAAGACAAAATTAAATATGTTTCACTAAATAATACATTTCCAGAATAATTTTACAAAAAAACAGCGGGAGAGAAAAGACAAATATACATTAAAAATGCAGGTTTTTAATTCAGCGAAGTAGGACGAGACAACACAGCAGATAGGAAAGTGCCCCCCCCCTCTCTCTCTCTCTCTCAACCTTTCAGGGAGCTGTTTCATGAAGCTTAATTGGTCCCAATCAATCAATTAATTAGTTAAGTAATCCCATTTTAATTAACTGATTAGCTTCTCAATGAATATCAAAATCGAAATAACTGACACTATAATCATAACGTCCTTCCAGAGGATGGGATTGTTAGATTTTGTTGTACTAATCCCTCGCCGACACTATTTAAGTTCAAAAGTTTTGACGTTTGGGATCAAAAGCTAAGTCTGTAATTTTCCCCTGATACATATAATAAAGCTGCGAGCCATTATTGGACAAGCAAAAGCAAGCCATTAATCTGAATGAATCTATCTATCAATCAGTTTCTAATTAACAAATATAAGAGTCTCATCAATTATCAATTTTGTTATGCCATATATATTTTCTCTTGTTTTCAGCTGCAATCTCTTATGTTGGTTTTTTTTTAAAAAAAAACTGCAACCACTTATTTTGGTCAATATCAAAATACTTCTCCGGTCTTTAATATAAAATCTAATTATTGAGTTGGTTTTGGTCCTAAATATAAAACTCATTTCTCATATTTATCAATTTTCTCTAAATTACCATATGGATACTCCCTCAACCATAATCAAGTAGAAAGGAAGAAGGGTATTAATAAAGACGATTATGGCATTTTAGAAAAAACATGTCACATTTCTTATAATTAACTAACTTACTTAACTTTTTTAATCTAATCAAATTAATTAAATGGATCTTATATTAAGACCAGAGGAGTACTTGCCAATTTATTTAATACGCTCCCTCTAACTCTAAATACAAATGCCTAATAATATTTTTACATGAATTAGTAAAATTAGTTAAAATTATGCATTTTTTGTAAGATATTAAAATTATTCTTAAAAAAGTCATCAGTGAGAAAAATTTGATTAATTAAAGAATATTTTTATATAGAAATACAAGATGAAAGAAAGAGTTAATGTTTCAAATAAAACATCTTACTAGTATATCATAAAAAAGCCATGCGAGAGTCTAAGGTCAACAGGTTCTTCCGATGCTGAAATCTTAAAGAAATGTTGTCAGGTTCTTCATATTGGCATTCAAGCTCGTCAGATCTGATCCCAAGTGTCAGTGATTTTTTTGGCATTTCGTGATTTGAATTTAATTCCACGAAGGATCTTATATTTGGAAATTGAGAAGGACAATATACTTGAAGTAAAACAACTAATGCTTTTTCCGCCAAAAAAAAAATACAACTAATACTTTACAAACTCTTGCAAGGTGATTTATATTTAGAATTATAAAATTATTTTAAAAAATAACCTATATAAAGAATCACATAATAGTATCCCTTCTGGCTCTATTTATAAAAAATAAATGAGTTTTTTTTGGAAGCTGAATATAAAGAACAAATACCCATATTATTGGAAAATTTCCTTTCTACCCTCAATAAGTTAACATAATTAAGTCATTATCACAAATAAATACATAGCCACCCTGTCAAACAAACAATAAAGTATTTTGAAAAAAATAAATTTAAATATATTTATTGATATTAACCATCCTTGTAAGATGATTTTTTTTTGCCAACAGTGTAAAATGTTACTTATTTCTTATAAAAATTAGAAAAAGTATTATTTAATAATGATCAGGCACTATTAAAGTACTAATAAGCTCTAATTCATTAATTTGAGGAAATTAAAAAAATTAGTTGAATTAGTTATTTGTAATAAATAGGTGTTGTCTTTTCTAAAATATCCTTACTAATCATGTATATTAACTAGAATTATCATTTGATAAAACATTTAATATCTGTAACTACTATAAAAACTACTTTAAAAAAATTGATAAATATAAAAAATAAGTGTATTAGGATCTTATATTTAGAACTAAATTAAAAATTAAACAAACTCTTATATTTTGACCGGAGGTAGTATAATATTGCGAAATTGATGGTAATAGTAGCTACAAATTTCTGATTAAAAAAAGGGTAATATAATATTTGGCTCTCTAAATTTATTCTTATTTTGGTTTTGGTCCATCAAGTTTTAAACTATAAGTTTTGGTCTTTCAAAGACAAAATAGTCTAAATTTTTATTAGATTACAGGAACTAATATTTTAAATAAAATAAAATTTAAGAGACCAAAATTTATAACTTAAACTTGAAAGACCAAAACTAAAATAATAACAAATTTAAAAGATCAAAATTTATATTAATCCAAAAAAAAATATCACAGCCTCAACTTCCCCGTAACAAAGCGTGAGGATTATTTATTGGTCACAACCGATCTCGTAAATGCTTCTCACCGGCGCTGGAGGGACTACAACTCCTATAAATACCAGCTCCTTCTTCCCACCAATCTCATACGCTTGGTTTCAAACGCTCCCATTAATTAATCTCATCTCCTCATCCCTCCTCTGCAACAAAAAAAAAAAAAATGGCTTCTGACCTCTTGAAGCTGAAGATCTTAGAGAAAAGCCATGTGAAGCCCAAGAGAAAAGTGGGCAAGAAGGAGTGCCAGCTCGTGACCTTCGATCTTCCATACCTGGCCTTCTACTACAACCAGAAGCTTCTGTTCTACAAAGGAGAGGACTATGAGGGGATGGTGAAGAAGCTGAAAGAAGGCCTGAGCGTGGCTCTTGAGGAGTTTTATCAGCTCGCAGGGAAGCTTGGGAAGGATGAAGAAGGGGTTTTCAGAGTAGAATATAACGACGAAGACGATGCAGAAGACGGCGGTGTTCCTGGCGTGGAGGTCGTTCAAGCTGTGGCTGAAGCTGATGTTTCAGTGGCGGACCTGACGGTTGCAGAAAGCACAAACACTTTGAAGGAACTCATTCCTTATACTGGCATCCTCAATTTGGAAGGCATGCATAGGCCTCTGGTGGCGATTCAGGTAATTTTTCATGATTAATTTGCTCATTGTTTGATTTCTGACAGAACAAGTGTGAATTTTGGTGTCAAATAACGTTTGAATATAGTTTTATTTAGTGTCCTGTATCTTACTTTAAGGAATTGAACTTCAGTTTTGAAAACTTGTGAGAAGACTTGGGCCAGGGGATTGTTCTGTTTTGGGTTGCTCTGTTTTTCTTGTTAGTGAGTGATCATATGAACAGAAACAGAAAATGGTGCTTTGAACGGGGAAGAAAAAGGAAGAAATGGCTTAAAGGGTAAAGTTCAATTGGAGCTTCAACTTTTTAGTTTCCAGACATCATATATCGTAGGGGTAATGGAACATACTTTTGACAGAAAAACGTGGGGAGTGACAGAAGCTCTTTATGAGTGTTTTTTTCCTTTTATTTGACTGATTGAAATAGCCTCAATGTGAACTTCAATAATTCAACTTCAATATGACTATTTTCAAAGTAAGATTACTCAATATATATACTTATCATGCAACTCTTTTTTTGACATAACTGGAACAAGAGTTTGGCCACTACTATTCCCCTGCTTTCATGAGTGGATGATGATGTGATATGACAAGAAGCCTTGACAAGAAAAGCATCAAAAGGGAGAAAACAGATTAAGTGCATACCAATAATGCAAGCAAAGGCACTCATCCAACACATTTTTATGATTTGGTGTTTGGATAAGATCAAAACTATGATTTCAGAAGTACTTTTACGTTTCGATTTACAAAAATGTATTTCTGAAAAGTGATTTTAGGTGTTATCAAACACCCCCTTAATCCTTATCCTTCCGTAGACCCCGGGCTCTCAAAATTTCTGCTTTTCCTGAGAAAACTAGGCGGTACACATGAACAATGATACATGTATATAGCATTCAAGCCGTACTAAAAACTTGACGTAGGGATGTTACGTTTTCCAGTTTTAGATGTCGTTTTATAGGAATGGAATACTGACGTGTTGATGGGTGGAGGCTAGTAATGATAACAATGAGTGTGTATTGTTCTGACTTCTGAGAATTATTTATTGTATCAACAGGTGGTAGCTTCTCATATTTAAGCTACTCATTCCAGAATTTAAGTCTTTAGCCAAGTTGGTGGGCACAGCCTGTGACCTTCCTTTGCCTCTGCACCTCACCCCCCCCTCCTTGTGCTCTCCCTCATCCCCACAGACCACCTTAACAAATAATTAACTGCCACACTTTGCAGCAATAATTCTGTGAGAACTTGATTATAATTTTAATTTTTTATAGTTATAGGAAATTTTTATTAGAATCAGTCTCCAAGCAATGATAAAATTACTGTCACATGATCTGAAAGTCATTAGTTCAAATTTTAGAAACAGTTCTTCAGGTTTTGGAGTTAAGGCTATATTTCTCTTTTGTATGTTTATGGAGTTTTGAAAAATTCAAACATCTTAGAAACAGATAAAAGGGTAAGAATTTATGGAACGGACTGCACTCCTTCATGTATTTCAGGAGTTCATTGATGAGAAGGGGTTGGGAAAGCTTAAATCCGATTCCCACAATGATAAATATAAGCGTAATTAAAATTCCTGGAGAGTTATATATTTATGTGTTGATAAGACTTGAAGGTCGATCTCTCTTCCAGATGAGCGAGTTTTTATAGGGCAATTGTCATTGTTTATGAACCGAACCTCGATGGTCTACCCTCATAAACACTCAAAACAAAAAAATCGAGATAAAATCATTTTCAAAAAAGTTAACATAAACATTTCCTCCGCGCATGTCCCCCCCAGATCCAGTGCATGAGAGTCCTGTGCTCCGCTGCTTTTCTCTAATATGGATTGTCTTATTATTGATTACAGCTGACAAAGCTGAAAGACGGATTGGCAGTGGGATGCGCCTTCAACCATGCGGTCCTTGATGGAACGTCCACGTGGCACTTCATGAGCTCCTGGGCTGCGATCTGCAGCGGCGCGCCTTCAGTTTCGGTGTCTCCGTTCGTGGAACGAACAAAGGCCCGAAACACGCGCGTGAAGCTCGACGTCTCACTTCCGTCAGCGGACCCACTTTCTGCTAAATCCAACGGTGATGCTGAGCAGGCCCCACCACCACCAGTTCTCAGGGAGAAGATCTTCAAGTTCTCCGAGTCAGCCATCGATCAGATCAAGTCAACGGTCAACGCTGATCTCCCGTCGGACGGTTCAAAACCATTCTCCACATTCCAAGCCCTCTCCGTCCATATCTGGCGCCACGTAACGCATGCACGTAACCTGAAACCCGAAGACTACACTGTCTTCACCGTCTTCGTTGACTGCCGGAAACGGCTGGACCCACCGATGCCGCAAACTTACTTTGGAAACCTAATCCAGGCCATATTCACAGTCACGGCAGCCGGGTTGTTGTCGGCAAACCCGCCGGGGTTCGGTGCGTCTTTGATTCAGAAGGCCATTGAAGCACACACTGCGAAGGCCATAGATGAGCGGAACAAGGAGTGGGAGAGCGCACCGAAGATTTTCCAGTTCAAAGATGCCGGCGTGAACAGCGTGACGGTCGGAAGCTCCCCGCGGTTCAAGGTTTACGACGTGGATTTCGGGTGGGGCCCGCCGGAGAATGTGAGGAGTGGATCAAACAACAAGTTCGACGGAATGGTTTATCTGTATCCAGGTAAGAGTGGAGGAAGGAGCATCGATGTGGAGCTGACCTTGGAGAGTGAAGCTATGGCGAGGTTGGAGGAAGACAAGGAGTTCCTCATGGAGGTTTAATATAAAACTCCTCTACGTTATTCACATGCAAGTTTGAATTCTCTAAATTTTTTTTATTGTAAAATTATTGTAGAGTTTAGGGACATATGGATTCTTATTCATATATCTCATTATGAATTCTACAATAATTTTACAAAAAAAAAAAGTGCAGAGGATTATATTTTTGCATGACGAGGGCTTTGTTTTGACTATGTATGTGGTTTTAATTTACGCGATCTCTGGGTTTTGCTGTGATTCTTTGGTGTAGTTGAAGTGCTTTAGGAATATGATTAATTAGCTTAGCCAAGTTATGGATAAATTCTTGGGTAAAATGTGGCATATGATACATTATATATTCAATACCCTCAAAATATTTCAAATAAATCTGGGCTATTGAATGTATAATGATTGTTACTGTATTATACCTAAGAATTTTTCAATGGCGGCTAAGGAGTGCTTAATTACCAGCTTTCAATCTGTGATGGACGATGGATTGCAATAATTATTGGTGCAATTATGCAATGTCTTTGATTTACATATAATATACGTTGTTTATATTCAAATGAAGGAAGTGAAATTTTTGTGTTTAGCCATTAAAAATTAGAGTAAATTCAAAATTCAAAATTTGAGTTTGTGTGTTTAATTGTTACTCACATTTAGGGCTTGTTTGGGGGTTTAAAAAATTCCCTATAAGCACGTTTTACGTAAATTGAGATAAAACTCTTCTTATATACTTATCTCGTATTTTGTAAATCATTATTAAAAAACTACTTATAACTTATCTATAAACTATTCTAAACTGTGCTAGGGTTTGGCAACTCTGATTTAGGTTTTGAAAACATTGTGATTGTAATTGTGATTGTAATTGTGATGTCTCACCCATGACAGCTATGTATGAGGAGGTGATAAAAGGAGTGATAAATGCCAGCATTTATGGTTGAAATGGCCCCATGCACTGCTTTGCCAATGAGCCGTTTTTTTTTGGTTAATTACATTTATTTTTCTATTAAGATAAGGCCATATACTAAAATGTGGATACCTCTTTCCGTAAGAATTTAAATTTTGATTTGCAACTTTTTGATTATTAACTTTGTTTGCTACCAGTATAAAATAAGAAACATACTATAAAATAAAATCACAATACCCAAATTTATTCTTGTACTAATAACTATTTCTTTTTAACTCGGCTGAATTATCTATTAATACTTCAATATATATAATCTTTTATATTTTTTCTGGACTGCTGTACTTAACTCTATCACACTCTTTAATGCTCTTCTGACACAGTGACTTCTGGAGTTAAGATGATTTTATATTTTGCAGTTTCTTCCTGCAAATTGGTCCCACATATTCAGCAGAATCACATATATACTGCATTTGCGCGCTTCATTTCAATGGATTTAAGGAAAGTAAGACTGCAGCTAGAAGATGAACGCTGCAATAAATTCAGGAACAAACTGTTAATAACTATATTGCATAATGATGGGTTCCTTTCTTTTAGACCAGAATGGGTTTCTTCTATAATACGGACATAAAAAAAAAGGGATGATAAATAGAAAAGAAAAAAAATAATGGAAAAGATTAAAAGTGAAAGGAAATAGATAAGTACATAAGAACAGAGGGAGATGCATCAGAGAGCTTCACATCTTTATGATACGAAGCCTACAAATTTATTAATAACATTAACGTAATTCCCCAATAAATTGAAGTCTAGATTATAATTTTTTTACATACTATAATCCTAAATAAAGTTTTAATTCGGGGGGAAAACTTGAGGAATAATTTAAATTTTTTTTATATGTTTAGTTTAAAAAAATTAGCAAATTTATTTATAGATCAATTACCAGGAGTAGTTAGATTTTCGGATAAAGCAGTGAGTGGGGGACAGCTCTATAACGGGCTGATGGTTGAAGACTTGAAGAGTGATAAATGCGGGCATTTATGGTTGAAGTGTCGTTAGCACTTAGCAGTCCTCCACGCTCCTGTGAGTGTGAATGTGATAGCATCCCATTTTTTCCATAATTCTTGTGACCACAATTTATTTATAAATTAATAAATATTTAAATTTCACGGGTCACTCCTAAATACTCATCCATTTCTAAATATAAGACCTATTTTATAGTATAAATTACACTATACTACATTACATTACAAAATAGGTCTTATATTTAGGATCTGAGAGAGAATTTTGGAACAGGATTCCAAAATTTGTGACTGTTTATTTTTTATTTTTGGCTAAATACAACTGTTTGAATAAATATTTATAACTTATCTTCCAATAAAATTTCCTTGAACTTAACTATTATCAAGTTAATTTTCTTTTTGGGGCGTCAGTTTCATTCCAAAAATTTTAGTACTGTAGTAGCTGTCTCATGTTAAAGGCGTAGTAATAAATTTTTATCGTTGCACCTAAATCTATCACTCTTAATGATCCCCTGACTTTCAAGAAAGAGCAATCATTGCACAGTGCCGATAAAAAAAAAAAAAAGATCATTGGACAGTCAACTAAATACTGAGGCATCGCTGGGGTTGTTATTTTATCTTTTCCAACTTATTCCAATGTGCAGGCCCACAGTTGCTAAACCAAGAAAAAAAATTGATCCGAATCTCTTACGAATAAAATACCAAAAATATTGAATTTCGATTCTGGTTTTTATTTTATGGGTTAAGATGTAACTAACATTCCGAAATATTTTTTCAGATACATTCAATACTCTAAAATATTTTTTGGTACATCCAGCATTCTAAAATATTTTTTTAGATACATCCATCACTATAAAGTATCTTTTGATGCATCCAGCACTAAGGCATAAAATATACTACCTCTGATCCTAAATATAAGAGTTAGTTGACTAATTTGAGTAGATTAAGAAAATAAGTTAAATTAATTATTTGTAATAAATATGTATTGTCTTTTCTAATATATCTTTACTAATCAAGTGTATTGGTTAAAACTATCATTATTAGAAGGACTATCTCGAAAAAAATTACATAAATAAGAGAAACAACATGTATTGGAGTCTTGTATTTAATATGAAAATAAAAGTCAAACAAAATCTTATATTAAAAACTGAAAGTAGTATTTTAGGCTTCATGAGAATAATTAACTTCCTAAGGTATCTTGTGGTGGACATGTTTTCCAAAATTAAGGACCTGTAGTTATCACTCTTAACAACTTTTGAGAAAATATCTCGGAATAACCCTTTATTTTATTGATCTTCGTTCGGTCGTTCCCTTAAGAGGAACAATTAAGCACCCCTAATAATGTTACCGACAATTCCTTTCACTCTGGTGGGCGCGCGCTTCTTTTTCTTGAATGGGATTTTCACTCTTCTTAGAAGAATCGATGGCATAAATGAACAAATAAAAGACTCAATGGAATCTACAAAATAATCGTTGCTCCTAAGAATTTTATTAGTTTCCAACTTTAATTCATTTAGATATTTTTTCCCTCTATACAGTTATGATTGTTTTCCAAAATATGTCTCATTCAAATGGTGTTCAAATCCCTCTAGAAATCTAATCAAAAAATCAATTGGAAATTTTATTTTTTTAAAAAAATCACCGGGTCTCAAATTTGATCAACATCAAATTCACACGCAGATTCATAGACAAATCTACAAGGCAAATGCATTTCATTGCAGTTAAGGAAGAGGATGAAGATTACTAAATGATTCACTGCGGTGAATTCAACAAGAAACAATTTACCACATAATGGGTTTCTTCTATTTTCACATTTCTAAGTACTCTAGTACCATAGACAGACTGCACATAATATGTTCAAAAAGAAATAAATAGAACCCAAAAAAAAAAAAGGTGGAAAGACAATAAGTAGACCCCAGGGTAATTGCACAGTGCATACATCTGGGCTACTCTTTCTTCAAATGTTTGATTGTATAATTGTAGAGAATTTAATTTAATTACTCAACAAAAATAAAGCAAAATTGAGTGACCCTTGTCATTTCTGATCCATCCACTACATATTCCAGGAATAGTACCCACATTCAGGATACTAGACTGATCATTAGAACATCGGATGAAGAGATTGTTCTACTCCTTATCAAGAAGCTATGTCTCGGTTTTAGGCTTCTGGGGTGGCGGCTCAGCAACGGCTGATTCCTTAGCATCTAAAGTGTCCCAAATTGAGCCAAATGCATTAGAGGAAAGGTTGGAGCGCATAAAGAAGGATGTAGAGAAATAGTACAGCTATCCGAGAATGACTAACCAGGAGGCTGGATTGGAGATTGATTCTGACCTTGTTCTGAAGGAGGGGGATTCTGTGCTTCCTGTTGTAAGGCAGAAGATGCTCTTAACTGCTCTTCTGTAATCTTAAGGTACTCCTCTGTGCTGTATGCTCTATTTGGATCTGCACAGCCATTTTCAATATCAAGGACCTAAGAAGACTTTATTCTGGGATTCGTTTCAAGGTAAAAGGCAAAGCAAGAAAGAAGGGGTGAACACAAGAAGCATGCAGCACTTGTTATCTTTGATTAATCATATAATTGATAAAACCAGCATTTAAAAGCAGTGAGTTAATTGATGGCCAAAAAAGCGGAGAGTTAATCGCACAAGGCTTCTGATGAAACTTATCTTTAGAAAGAAAAGAAGAAGGTACACTCAATCTTATGCTGTGTAGGAAGCAGCAAGGGTTTAAAGAAAGAAAAAGGAAAACAAACGGGAAAAAAAAAAAAGAAAAAAGAAAACACAACTGCAGAGACCAACGTAGCACCTTGAGTATTTTATCCTTTTTCTTCTCTCTTATCCCATTTATTATCATATTTATATTTGTAAATTTTCAATGCGGCATTCATTTGTCTTTTGGCATACCACAGGAAAGTCATAAAATTCTTGAATTTGTTGGTTTATGGGTTTCAATGATGATCTCATGACCCCTTGGGATGAATACAGTTCCGGGCATCCTTATTTATTTTTGATGCAAAGGACGCATAAACAGACAAAGCTTACAGTGAAAGTCTCACACAAACAGCCACCTTTAAGGCGTTTGAAAAAAATAACTGAGAAACAAGTGAATTTTTTAATTAAGTTATAAGATCTTTCCAATAAGGCTTACGATTAATAAGAAAATGAAATATTAAATAGGAACCACTGCCTGATCAGACAACAAAGGCAAGCATGATAGTACAGCAGATAACCTATTGGAAGCATGTGCCTGATCGCATTGCAAGGCATTTAGTTAGCTGATATGAATATGAGGCTTATATATAAATGTCAAGTCATGATACCCTTGCATGAAATAGTATGGTACTGCCAATAAGAGAAAACAACGAGCTACCAAGCAAGCATTCATTTTAAGAGTAGATAAACTGTTACTACATCACTCACTGGCATCAACTGCAACTTGAGAATTATTGGTATCAACAGTGGATGATGGATTTGAGCTAGTGTTATTGTTGGGCATATTCGATCTATACATATTCTGTGTTGGACTTGAAATGTCATCAAGACCAATCTCCCGTTCAAGTGTGCTCTTGAATTCATTTGAAACTTCCTGAAGGGGCAATAAGGATAGAAAGTAGTAACAATGAAGTATCTATGAACTGGAATCAGTGCAATGGTTTCATTCTGAAGATGCTTTACCTACCTGAAGCTCTTTAATGGTGGGTTGAAATGCTCGCAATGTTTTCCCCAGATTCCGTGCAACCTGCAGTTGGGTGTCTCAGCACAAGAACAAGGGTCCAAGGGAAGAGAGATAGAAAACCAGCAGCAACACCACCAAGAACAAATGTACTGTCAAGATATCTAAACAAGTGTATCCAATTATAATTTGAATAAACAAATCATACCGCCCTTTTTGTGAGGATGCTAGATGAGGGGGTCAAGAGAAGAAAGAGAAAGAAAATTAATACCAACAGCAACAATGATAAAGATTAGGTGAAATTATCTAAACTCATGAGTCCAACTTAAAATTAATTGATCTGGGATGCTCTGGTGATGTTGAGATTCTGGTTTTTGGATATATACAGCTTCGATATTTCAGAAAGCTGGAATATCATGCCTAGTAAACCCCAGTCATCTGAAACAAAATCTCATTTTATGTAATCATTTGAGAATAATATTACTTATAGCTCAAAGAAAGCGACGAATTTTTAGGCTGCCTAAAACAAAGCTCTGAAATACATGAGAAATCTATCATATTCAATCATTTTATTGCAAACTCAATGTTTGCCAAAGGTGTTGAAGCTGAGCTCAATCCTTTCTTTTAGATAAAATCCAAACTTAAATCCGCAGCAGTGTTGTCAAAGGCCAGTCAGAGGCGCCAAGAGACCTCAAACAATGTTACCTTGTGAGGTGAGGGCAATCTTTTGGTCGATGTCAGGCACCTTCGCATACACTAGAATTATTTTACATAAATATATAGCCCTAAAAGCCCGCCCTAATAAAGTCATAACCATGACCCATGAGGTCAATAATTTAAAACAAATAGGAATTTACTGATAGAGGGAAAGAATGGTAGTGGTGTTGACACTCATCTAAGTAAATATCTCACCTCAGCAAGACCTTTAGGACCAAACACCAACAAAGCCACGACCCCAATTACCAGAGCTTCAGGCGCTCCAACCCCGAAAAGAGATGCATAAATCACCTTGCCCTTAGCCCTTCTGCCTGTACCACCATTGATTCGCTCAAGCAAACAAGAAATTATCAGCGAAAATACAACTAAAAAGGAAACTCCAAAATCAGGGACATAACCTGGAAACCACAACTCTGCATGAGAGTTTTTACCAGTACGGAGAGATTTTGGTTTAGTTGAGATGCCCAGATGCTTTAGACCATTCCAGGGCGAGATAAGGCGTCGATCCAGTGGAGATGACCATGAAGAAAGATGGAAATTTATGGTTTTAGAATGTGAAATAGCGGAAGACGAAAGTGCACATATCGCTGGCCTTGAGCTCGTAGATGCCATTGGACATGACACTGTGGAAGTAGAAATTGCTGAAGCCATTGCCAAAGAGTGTGTCATTTGAAGACAGCTTTTTCAGACTCGATTTTTTTCCGTTGATCGTTGATACATGGGCGCAAAATCACGGACAATCCTATCCCGTTCCGAGGGAAAACAAAATACTCTCTCATTTGTGCCATAAAAAACATACTCTTTTTTTTTGTTGGTATTACTTGGGTTTTAGGATGCATTTGGATGGGCTTTACCTCATGGGCCACTTTGTGCTACGCGGCACTAAATTCATCTGGTTGGGCTACGCTCAACAGTTCAATTATCCGAACCAACTTGACCCATGTTGAAATCAGGCCATGACGAATTATAGGGAAAATTTGTCAAGGACCAAATCACAAATTTATATTTTATCAACAAAAAAAAATCACAAATATATATATTAAACATTCAACACTATGAAACAAAATTAGGTCTAGTACAATGAGTTAGTTCCTTACAACATGATGAATCAATATTCAAATTTCTGTTAGGAGAAATACTTATATTTAACACCTAGTGGTGTCCCGAACAAAATTGTGGAGTAAACAACCTTTTGCAGGTTTAACTGTGGCGAAATAATTAAAAACAAAATAAAAACTATTATAGATGCAATTGGGTCTTAATCTTAAGTAAATTAGATGTAACTTTGATTAAAAAAATCGTGGACCGTGGAATAATGTGCTGCATATTTTTAATCATGTCACGTAAATGAACACACACCCACAAACCAGCTGTAATTGATCCAATCTGTCTGCTGTGAGCCTGACGCAAATTCGGTCAAAACAATCCAAAATACCAAACAATAATTCGAATATTTTTAATACCCTTCTTATCTCTCCCACGCGCACAAGCACAAATATTGCATGATACGATGAATGCCAGCTTGAATGTATATGTTCAAATTTGGACTTACATATAATAGACGTCACTATACCCTCTCAAACGCTGTTCCCTTCATCAGGTTTTATTATTTGCGTAAAATACACAATAAAATCAATGAATATCTCTTGAACCGTATATTTTATATTATCAACTAAACTATATTATTCATGTTCCACGAAAAAGGCCAGAGGAGGTTTACATATGAATGATGGGGACCTTGTGTCTTAAAAAATTATCCAAAAATGTTTGGGAAAATTTAATACTACCTCATGTCCTAATTATAAGAGCTAATTGATTAACTTGAGGAGATTAAGAAAATAAGTTAAGTTAATTATTTGTAATAAATAGGTGTTGTCTTTTAAAAATATCCTTGTTGATGAGAACTATCATTATTAGAAGGACCATTTTGAAAAAAAAATACATAAATATTAGAGATAAAGTGGATCAGGGTCTTATATTTAGGACCAAAATAAAAGTCAAATGAGGTTTTATATTAAGGACCGGAAGTAGTAATACAGGTTGAAGACCGATTACTTCCTCCTCACGTTCATGGTTTTGCCTTTGTTTGTGTTAAAAAAACTGCTTTTCCCCTTTATCATGATGCTCGTGAGCCTTTCATGAAATTTAGAGTTATAATTATTCTTCCATTTTTACATTATTGTGATATTTTGATATTTTCCATAACTTCCAACTATATATATTTTAACCTGCTTAGTTGACTTAGCCTATCTGATTCAGAAAGTGTTTAGATTAGCTTCCTGAGTTGATTAATTCATTTAATATTTTACCTTATTAAAATCCTGACCTGGGGAGCATATATATGATAGAACCTACTTACTTGTATTTGTGAAAAGAATTAATCATGCACACATATATCATTAAGTTGTTGATCCTTCATATTAGTGGTACGTAGACATAATATAAACTTCTCAAACCAGAAGCCTTTGTGTAACTATAATTCATCAAGCGCGCGCGCGTGTGTAGAGGTGATAAACTAACCTGGATGACACTCAATATATATATATATATATATTAATTTATTTTTATAATTATGATTAGACTAATTAATGTAACCACAAGCACCAATTTAATTTAATTATTAACGGTTGGAATACATTGCGAAATAGTAGCGACGGATAAACTGAATTGTTGCAAAATTAGTCAAGTACTAATAAGACTATATATATACACACACTCTATCTTTGGTTCTAATTATAAGATTATGTTTATAGTCTATAAATAAGATTTTATAATTAAGGCCGGAGGTAGAAATTAAAACCAATCAAGTTTTGTGGTGGAGAATATGATTCTAGTGCCCACTCGATCCAATATGTTCAGATTTGGACGCATTATGTACGAAGACATTTGGTCACACATAGCCACATGCAGACCTCAATAACTTATTCTCAAAACAACGTTCCTTCCTCAAGTTTTCTTTTCATAAAATATAAATCCGTTATTCTAAATCCGTATCTCTTAAACTGTATTTTATCAAACTACAGTGTTTCCCCAGGTTGAGAAACGCAAATTTATTTAGGAAACTACGGAAAATCTTTTATTATTATTTTTAAATAAAACTAGCTATACTAGAATTCTAGTTAAATTTATATATGGGTCCATCCACGATGAGTAAGGGATAAAAATTGAATGTCTGCTTTGGTTGTGCACTATATAAATTAAATGTCCAGCAATACATGGATAAACAAACACCAAATATATTAATCCCATATTTTCGTCATATTAATAATTATCATTATTACTTGTCACTATCTAAGCTTATGGAAATGAAACTGTTAATCAATTAGCTAGTAATTAAGTAATTGTTTTTAATTGAATATGTTTTTTTTTCAATTCAGATGCAACAAAATTTGGTCGTTGCATACACACACACACACACATCCTCCGGTCTTTAATATAAGATCATGTTTGACTTTTATTTTGATCTTAAATATATGACCCCAATCCACTTTGTCTCTCATATTTATACTTTTTTTTTCCAAAGTAACCCTTCTAACAATTATAGTTTTAGTCAATACACTTGATTAGCAAGGATATTTTAGGAAATACAACACCTATTTGGGACAAATAACTCACTCAACTTATTTTTTTAATCTCCTCAAAGTAGTCAACTGGCTCTTATAATTAGGATCGGAGGTAGTACATGTCATTTCCTTTGAACTCAATCGAAGGGATTAAATCAATTAACACATTAAAGTCAACGTTTGTACTCTTAAACATGAGACTTATTTAATGGATATGGTTTAGTTCTAAATATCAATTTTGTCTTCCTATTTTTCCATATTAATTATCCTCATGAATTTCAAAGTTTTTTCTTCACCTCTTAAACGTAGTTTTAGTAATATTTGTAAATTAATTAAACAAGTTTTATAGTTAAGATGGGAGAGAATAATTACGTTAATAATTAAATCTCAACCAATTACATAGATTTCTTGGAGATATATAGTGATTGTGCCGTAGCATTAACTAACTACGTGAAGCATAAGTCAGTTTGGTTAAGGTGAAGTGTCCGAAAACTTGGAGTGCAAGAATGTTGGGGGGCCAACATTAATCACTTTCATACATACACACTTTGACTCTTCTACAAATATGTCAATTTCTTGCTAGTTCCATCATTATTGATTGTAAGTTGAAGGGAAAATTGGTAAGAAATTCCTATTTGAAAATTTAATTGGCTAATAGGATTTGAATTTAAGAAAGTGCAACTATATATGATATGTGAGTACAACATATCTTTCACTGTATACAACATATTATCAATGATGTGCAACAATTATCAATACGAAAGTTATTTACACACAGCGAAAAATATGTTACACTCAAATCATATTTGCACATGTTCAAATTCAAGTCTTTTTAACTAATTAAATTTTCAAACAGGGACGTTTTACCAATTTTTCCTAAATTAAATCTCAAGATATTTTGTAGTTTTTATATTTTAATTTTATGATACATTAAAGTGATTTTGTGCCTTTATCATGGTGTCCATGAAGTAGTAGAACGAGAAAATATTTTTCCTCATGATTTTTTGGTCCAACTTTTCCATAACTCTACTTTACGTGTTTAAATTTGGTTCTCATAATGTGCTTATTGCATATTTCATGCGCAAAGTACTGTTATTTTATTTTTATATTTTTTAAGTTAACATATTATTTATTTTACAAGCTAATAGTTATTATAAGCTTAACATTATTTTGTATTATTCAACATGTATATTATTGAAATTTAGTTATAACCTCACTCCTCTTGTTGAGGAGGTTGGAGGATTAATTCTCATGTGATTTAGGAAAAGTGTGAATGTGAGCAGTCCCTCATATGGCGAGGGTTAGGACAGGTCTATAAAATAAAAAAATTGCATGCTTTTATACAAAATAAAAGAAATAAGCATACAATTCTCCAGTGCACCGCCCATCCGATAACCATGGTTCGTTATCATCCTATGCATCTATTTAAAAAAAAAAAATCATATTTTAATTTCTTCCTTGTTCAATTCAATTCCTATCCTCCTGCGTCTTTTCGGCCTCCTCCTTTTTGTTCTCAGTTATATTCGCCTACCTCTCTCAGATCCCTTAGCAAAGACTTCAACTTTCAATATTTAAATTCCACTTGAATCTTAATATAAGAACTAGTTGACTAATTTAAGTAGATTAAAGAAACTAGTTAAGTTAGCTATTTATAATAAATAGGTGTTGTTTTTCCTAAAATATCCCTCTAATCAAGTATATTGGCTAAAATTACCACTATTATAATACCTTCCTTGAAAAAAAATAGATTAATATGAAAGACAAAATAAATTACGGTCTTATATTTATGACTAAAATAAAAGTCAAATGAGCTCTTATATTAAGAACCGGGTAGTATGCTCTAATTAGTACAATACAGCGAATTGAATACTTAAAATCCTTCAATGGCTTGGGCTTTCTTAGTTGATTAATTCATTTAAAATATTGGGGCTTATTAGAATCTTAACTTGGGAGCGTATATCTGATAGAACCTAGCTTCCAGTACATGGGAGAATAATTGATCATGCACACATAATTACGTTGTTGGTGCTTCATATAAATGGTACGTACATAATAAACTACTTAAGCCAGAATCGTTCGTATAATTCATCAAGCGTGTGTATGGAGGTAGTAAATTAACCTGGAGATTTATTTATTTTTACAATTGTATGTGATTAGACTAATTGATGTAACCACGTGTACTTTTCAACTCATCTAATCACC